ACAGGACAAGGGGTAATGGGTTAAAACTTAAACAGGGGAAGTTTAGATTGGATATAAGGAGGAAATTCTTTACTGTTAGGGTGGTGAGGCACTGGAATGGGTTGCCCAAGGAAGTTGTGAATGCTCCATCCCTGGTGGTGTTCAAGGCCAGGCTGAACAGAACCTTGGGTGACATGGTTTAGTGTGAGGTGTACCTGCCCATGGCAGGGGGGTTGGAACTGGATGATCTTAAGGTCCTTTACAACCCTAACCATTCTATGATTTTAAGAGCAAAACTAACATCCTTTCAACTTGCATCTGTGTTCTCAGCTGACCTCATGGCAAAGCTATTATTATATTGTATCTTTTAGGAGACAAGCCTATTCACAAAAGAATTGGAGGTATACTGGGGGTTGCAAAATGCATTCAATACATTACAATATGACAGTAGCTTAGGATTTCAAATGACAGTGAAGTCCATCTCTGATCAGGTGCTTTAATTCGATTTGGTCACAGCATTAATATAACTTTCGTGAAAAACATTCAAATTCTGGCTTTCCTCCTAAGTAGAAGCACCCTTAGAAACTGGCAGCCTTTGATGCTAGGGATAATTCAGAGGGAAGCATTACTCTGTGAGTAGTGATCATGAAATTTAGGACTTGGCATCTAACCATGAGAAATTATGTCCAAACCTGGCTGTAGCTACTGGTACCCACTGCTGAATTCAGTTAGAACTGAAACTACCTTCCAGTTCAAACTTTGCTGTGGTGGAGGTTCCCCACACCATCAATACTTTTAACTCATTTTTAGTGTTATTAATGTAAATTAATATAGCATTTCTTCTGTGCTTGCATGCAGAGTTAAGGCTGAAATCATTGCATATTACTTGAACTGTTTGATATATTCATGTTAATACATAAGCATGTCTTTAGGGTATGGCTGATAAAATGTAGTAGCCAGGCCATGACCAATAAGGAACAATAGAAAATGTCTTTTCCAAGCAATTGTTACACAGTGCCAAAATGTAGATTTTTTTAATATGTAAAACTGTGTTTTCTTCATTTCTGTAAATTTTTTCCACTTGGCTGAAGGTATTAAACACAACTGACCAATGGAGTCTTGCTCAATGTACTTCTATTTTCTGATTTAGAAATCAATCTGCCGTATACCCCTACAATATATAATTTATGAGGGCCAAGGTTAAAAGAGGAGTTACAGTTTGGTAATTTCTCAATTCAGCCACAAAATGTAACTGTCTCTGGCTAGATCTATACTGGATCTAGACTGGACAAGGCAGCCGTAAAAGATTGGACAAGATTTCTTAAAGCTGTGTTATTACTCAAACCTCTCCTAATTTCCTGTATTTAGCTGTTAATTCTGCTAAAGAGAAAGAAACAAAACGAAACAAAACAAAAAAAACCCACAAACAAATAAGCAAACAAAACCCAAATCAAAATGTAGTTTGTTAATTCTAAAATGAGTTTATACCTGTTAAAACTGACATGAGGTCATGTTCCAGGATGCACAGTGACATTCACTCCGCTCCTATTTCAGCTTCCCACAGATACTCCTTAGAAAGGGCCTTTGATCTTCCAACAGTGACTTTAAATCATGACAAAATATTCTTAAAATATGTATTACAAATAATGCAATATAATCCTCAGCTTTACTGGAAGAAGATAGATTTATATGTTGAAAGTGACTGAAAGTATTGGGGAGCAGGTAATGACAGGTAAATGACAGAAAAAGTGGTATAGGCTTTCACTGGGAAGAGGTGGGTTACTGTATGTGTGACTGTGAAATACAAAGGAGAAAAATCAGAACTAATCAGCAGGTACAGTCCAGAAAAGCCTCCCTGCTCTGTTTCGCTCCAAAATTGTTTTTAAAATTCTGCATTGATCTGTATTTGCTTAATTTAAGATGCAGGAAAAGACTGGTTATCCATAAATGATAAACACAAGAAAAGAGTCCTTCTGGTTTAAATATAAGATCATGAGTCTTACGTGGTGAAAATTATCTTAAATCCATGAATTCCAGTGGAATGTCACCAGTGTATTTTCTATGGATATGGGAATCTCTTGTCTGAGTAATGATGTTAAATGGTTTATATAGCATGGAGCTACAGCAAACTGATGTGTTTAAGTATAGAGTAAGACAAATACAGTATTGATAGATGCTATATACAAAATATTCTCAAATTCCTTTGTCATAAGTTTCCCCATGTTCTTAATTCTGATGTTGGTTAAAGCGTTTTTTAAAAAAATACACTTAGGAAAACAAACATCATCAGTCTTTTATGACAGCTACTAGTCTCTTTCTGCCTCTTAAATGAGCGAGCACAGAGTTCTTGTCATGGTTTAAAACCAGGCAGGAAACTCGTTCACTCACTCCCCCGCTTCTTGCTCTCCCCCTACTCCCGGAGGGACGGAGAGGAGAATCGAAAAGAATGCAACTCCCCCGGGGTTGAGATAAGAACAGTTTAGTAACTAAGGTATAACACAAATCACTACTGCTACCATCAATAATAACAATGATAAAGGAAATAACAAGGGAAGAGAATACAACATCTCACCACCAGCTGACTGATAACTCGCCCCCCCAGCCCGATTAAGCACCGACCGATACCTCCTCCAACGCCGCAGTCTCCCAGCTCTTCCGGATAACTCTCAGTTACATCCTGGGCATGACGTGCTGTGGTATGGAATACCTCTCTGGTCAGTTTGGGTCAGATGTCCTGTCTCTGCTTCCTCCTGGCTTCCCCTCCTCCCTGGCAGAGCATGAGGCTCACAAAGTCCTTGGCCAAATCAAAACATCATTGTTATCAGCTCTGTTCCCGAGCTGAAAGTCAAAACACAGCACTGCACCAGCTAGCAAGAAGGAGAAACATGACTGCTACTGCTGAACCCAGGACAGTTCTGTTTGCTCATTATCACTCTTCCTCATTTGAAGGGTGCCTATTTTTACTTTTCTATGGAACAGATATAGCTGATAGAAATTTCTGACTTCTGAAGAAAGTCCCCATTATATCCACAATCTCAAGTATCAGTTCATGCCATCATTTAGTTGAAACTTTCTGTAAGATTGCTACAAATGCATTTGTGATAATCCTTTACTTCTGTAAGTTTCCTCCTGTTCAGTTTTGGAGAAGTCTTCCAGGAGCAGCAAATGAATTCCCATATACTGTATTTCAAACTACATTCTGTATATCCAGTGTCAGGAAATGTGATGTAGAAAACAATTCTGCATTAATTGAAAGATGGGCTATTTAGCCTGTCAGGTCTTTTCCGTTTGTAATTTAGTGTAATCTCCATGTCCTGCGCTGCCATTGCACTGAATGATGTGAGTCTACTGCACCTCAGGACAAAGACTTTCCATAGCGCAGTCAGACCAGTCAGCAATTACTCAGTGTCTTGGTATGTGACATCTTACAAAGAACTGTGTAAATGTAAGAAGGCCCTAGATTAGGTCCACGAAGATCCTTTAAAGTATTTCTTCTTCTGATAATAACTTAAATAATTCACCTGGACAATGTCCCTTTTTCTCCTTTCCTTTGGTTTAGCCTAAGCACTTAGTGACGAATGTCTGAAATGTTATGTTATCAGGCAGAATAAATGCCAAACAGGTTTTAATTGTGTATTATTCCACATAAAATGCAGGATTATTTATCTTCTAATACAGTCAGTTTAATGTTTATACAATTAAACAGTAGAAATATACAAACTACTGATGCAAGTCTATTAAATAGGGTTTAATGTTATAGCCATTTTCAGCTTATCAGAGCTGAATTTCTGGTCAGGAATTCACTGTACCTGTACTGTACTTCAAAAGAATGCTCTGAAGTGCTTATCATTAGAATGTCTGTGCTTTTATTTCAAGATGAACAATAGAAGCTCTTCCACACAGCAACTGTTTCCTTGTGACTATTAAACACATTACAGAAAACATCGTGACCTCTACCGTTAGTACACCACCCAAACAGAACTATGTATAATAGATAACAGTAGTCTAAATTATACTTGCTATTGAAGATGGTTTTGTGGAACCTGGTTGTTGGGCAAATACTTCTTATAGTTATGGGTCAAATGTCACAACACAGATACTTGCGCTGTTTTATCCCACAGACATGCCATAAAGAGCAACTGCATTAAATAAACAATTACTATAAATACAGTCCTTTTCTCTAACAGTATTTAGGTGGCAAATATAAGACTTCAGTCTTTACAAAAAACAGAATATATGTGTTACCCACATAAACTGCCCTTGCAATTGTCAAGATGTACATGATTACTCAGATTTGGGTTAGAACAAATGTAATTTACAACCTATGCCTAGAGTAAACCTATAGTTTCTGAAGATCAGCTAATCAAAGGTATGTCCTTTCCTATATATAAGCAATAGGATAACATTTAAAAATTAAAGTAAAAAGCTGTACATTTTATACAGTTTTTCAAATATATTCTCAGTTACTTGAGATTATTTCAATTTTGAATCCATTTATGCAAATGTTTTCAAAGGAGGGAGTTCATATGGAAGACAACAGTGAAATACAAGTCACAGTACCCTTGTGCGCCTGTCCCATTTTACAGGTGGCAAGTACTGAGCAAGGACATTAACCAGCTTGAGACTTCCTAGTCAGCTTTAGGTATGTAGCTAGTTTACACCACAGCTAGCCTTCCTATTCTCTTTGCTGCCGAAAGGGAAATCAAATTTTCTCCTGCAGTATGTTCTAACCAGAAGCTTCTCTGAATGACCTTCTGGGTTGGCATTTCTTTATTGAGTATGCAAAGAGCAGGCAACTAGCTTAGCTGACTGACTCTCGGCAGCATATTTGTGCTTCTTACTGTCAAAATTGCTCCTCTTCAGCTCTTGCTCTATACAGCTTTAGTTCATCCTGTTTCTACTGTGATATACTGTCACAAGTCCAGCCCTCATTTTTTGTTAAGGGTGAGACATTCCAAACCACTCAGTAGGCTCCACCCTGTATTAAATGTAACTCTTAAGTACTAATATGTACTACATGTATGTAGTGCACTGAATACGCTAACACATAGCTAGAAGCTGGACAAAATTACTCTCAATTTTATGAATTTTTAAAAGTCTACCACTTGCCTACAAAGTAATTGTAGTAGTCAACAACTACTGTTTACATAGTAGTTTGTTAACTCTTTGTCCAGAAGTAGAGACATAACAATTTCTGTTCTCTAACCAGGCCTGTTCATATACATAAGCAATAAAGTGCAAGAAAGATGTTAATGATACGAAAGAAAAGAAGTTTTGAAAGGTCTGACAAATAAAGCAATTCTCCTTAAGAAGGAGAATACTGTCTGTTTCTAAGACAGTATCGTAAGTAATGGGAAGACCAAAGAGAGTACTTAATGTTGAGGGAAAATAACGTAAGTGCACAGGTGAGAAGTTGGTCCCATGATACCTGAATACAAAACTGCAATTCATCAGAGTGAGGGTTTGATTCTTGTATTGATGCAGGTGTGACCCCTTTAACAGAGTTCTATATTTATATCTTAAATTTATATCTACATTTATATTCCATTTGAAAATGGAAATGTGCAGCATTCTTATACAGGACTAATTTGGTTGCTTTGTTATATCTACTTCCACAACATAAATTAACTGTTAATGCTCTTAATGCTTTAAAAATATTTCAGGCTATTAATGAAAGATAGTTTATACCTCCATGAACATATGAGAAAATGCTGAATTCTACTTACATGAGCAATCACCACTGACTATGAGAATTACTGGTTCTATGTTGAAAGTCTCATATATTTGTAAGTATTTGCCAGAGCGAGGCCCTCCTAATATATATAAATGAATGGTCAATCATTTACGTAAAAAGTATGTTCCAGTTGTTACTTATATGTTAAATTAAAAAGCAGATACTGCATATCACTATCTTTTTGATCAGATGATTTATGAAATGCTGGTTTGTGAAAGTCAACCAGTTGCCTTAATATTAGAAAATGCATCTTTAGGACAAAGGACACAGGGAGAGACACAAAAGGTTGGAAGCATAGAAGCATATCCTCATAAGTACCAAGCAATCCCTATTGTTGGATGACCAGATTGAATCATCATTTAGGTAGGTGTCATCAAAGTTCACAATCTTCAAGTCCTTCTTAAGGTAGATTTCATTGAGTTTGTTCAGCGTTCGAGCAAAGGTATATTTAGATGCACAGCTATATGCTTCCAGGTTGTAGACTTTGTGGAAGTGCATATCAAAATACGGATTATCCTAAAGAAATGGAGACAGAATGAAATTATTACATGCTTTACAGGTGTTAGAATGGCAATCTGTTGTTCTCTGCCCAGCTACCTTCAGGGCTTTTTCTCCTTTTGATTTTCTCCATTTGAAAAGGACTTTGCCTACTTGTCCTATTGATACTAAAGGATCATTTAAAACTTCACAGAGTGCAATTTATAATTAGCTGCAATTATTTGCCATTAGTAGTTTTGCCTGAGTAGAACTTTCAGAGTTTGGCCAAGCAGTATGCTTCACTTTATTTGGATTATAAAATCTTGTTTTGAAATGAACCAATTTGTCATGTTGCCTAAAACACACTATATGAAAAGCACTTGCCTTGGACTATAACAACATCTGCCTATCAGAAGAAGAATATTGATTGCCCTTCCTGCCTAAATAGTAATTCTCTGTCCTTTCTGGCTCTTTGGCACAATTAATCCTAGCAGCAGCTCACTTCTGTTAAACTCTATGGATATGAAAAACTATTCTGAATATTTATAGCAGAGTTAATCACCACATAATTATGAGTTTGAGGTTCATTTATGCTTTTCTTTAACTAGAAATGCGACAGATTTTGATCATACCAGTTGAGGGAGGCTGATTCATCTCTGAAGGATATTTTAGCACAACACTTCAGAAAAAAAGATAAAGTAAATTCATGCAAGCAAGTGATAAGGAAACCCTCTGGCTGCCTTGGCTGGGCAAGGGATGGCAACATATCCAGAAGCAAGATAACTTGGAGAAGGGATGTGAAGTATTATTAGTTTTGGCTTCCCCCCAACCTTGACTTAAACTACAAAGAGCTCACAGGATGCAGGGATACTCTGAAGCTGAGCTCACATCCTCCATCTCCCAGGTTCCTAGTTTTAGGCTTGAGAGCGATGTGTGTATTGTGCATAAGGCAGAATAAGAATAACCAGTTTGTCATTCTCCTTGGAACAAGGCTCTGAAACCTCTCTTGGGAGCTCTTGGTTTCTCTTTCACTAGCATCATTTAACCTAACTTCTATTTTATGTTTGTTTGAAAGCACTTTGAAAGGGAAAAAGGTAATTTTTTTTTTTCCTGGACTACATTTATTATGCATGGACAACCATTAAAATGACTTCTTATACATGCAGTAAAATATTCTCCTCAGCGTATTCTTCTATCTTTTGTAAAATAGGATTTAATTCTACTTTTGGTGTTCTGTAATATACTACTGCATCCCCATTTTTCCTTTCTGAACTTGTATCTGAGAGATGAGGACTTTTTTAGCAGTAAGTTCAGCCCCATCTAGCCAAAGCAGGTTTATATTTGCACACACAAATATACAAATATTTAATTGATCCAAGTATTGTGAGATTAAGCTATGTGAAAGAGGCACCATTTCATGCACTGCTACACCAAACAGTGCACTTTTGTGATGTTGACTTTGTCACACAGAGAACAGATTCATACCGTCAAATGACAGGATAATAATCTTCATAAAAATATTTAACAAAGCTTTGTTTTCAAGCACACATTAAGATCTATGGGATTAACTCCAATTTACACTGGGAGCTGCAGGTGAAGAATTTTTATTCCCAGTTATGATGAACAAATTAGAAAACACCCACCTTCTCCCTCCCTCAGATCTCAACTGGAAAGATGAAGAAGACTGCAACAGACAAGAAAATCTCTCCTTCCTCTTTCCCCACAACAGTGCAAATGCAATGTGAAGCCTCTCATAGGCAATAAAGCCGAAGTTCTGTGAAGGTTTGATTTATTTTGGTTTATACATAACTTTTTCATATAATGCATTTTAATTGCATTTTAATATTGTATCCCAAATTGCAACACAAGAAAAGTATACATTATTACATGTATTTAATAATACATAACACTTACAGTGTCTGCTTCTTTTCCATCAATCATCTCCAGATCTTTCAAAAACCATTTTTCAAGTATTTCATATTTCTCCTCTAGATCCACTCGCAAGTGTTTAACCATACATATTTCTACTTCTTCACTTTTAGTCACTAAAAGAAAAAAATAGTTTAGATATGCAAGCAAGTACTTCCAAAAGGTTCTGGTAAGAAAAGACTCAATCAGGCTACATTTTAGATAATAACTTAAATAATGATGTACAGCTGATGTAACATGATGTAACATAGGGTTAATCTGGATTTAGCAGTTTTATTTTGCCTAAGTAGTAGGAAAAGCACCACTTTCTCAGTATGTGAAACCTGACAGCTTTTAGTAGAGTCAGGATTTACTTGCTCATCATAGAATCATAGAATAAATCATAGAATAGCTTGGGTTTGAAAGGACCTTAAGATCATCTGGTTCCACCCCCCTTGCCATGCATAGAGATGCCTCACCCTAGACCATGTTGCCCAAGGCTCTGTAAAACCTGGCCTTGAACACTGCCAGGGATGAAGCATTTACCACTTCTTTGGGCAACCCATTCCAGTGCCTCACCACCCTCACAATAAAGAACTTCTCCTTATATATAATCTGAACTTCCCCTGTTTAAGTTTAAAGCCATTACCCCTTGTCCTATCACTATAGTCTCTGATGAAGAGTCTCTGTGAAAAGAGAATTTTGTCTGTGCAAAAGCCTTTCATCTGAATTCACAAGCAGCCCAATGACAGCCTAATTCTGGCCCTGGATCAGTATGGATAATCCACTTCTACTTACTTCAAGAGCAATCTTTTGGGATGCTGGACTCAAACCAAAAAATTGTAGAACTGCTACCAGGGCTCTGTATTTACATGACTTGTGCTACACTTTTCATTCCATGGATGAAGTTCTCTTACTTTTTTGAAAAAGCCATTACTTTTTCAAAGCAAAAGTTTCATTTCCCTATAAAATACGTAAGTAGGCCATTTAAGAAAAACAACATCAAAAACATTCCTTAAAGCTTTGAGTTGTCCAGTGTTGTCTTTGCAGAATTCACTATTTTCTGACTTAGGCAGGACATGAGAGTAAAAAGAGCACAAAGACACTCTTTGCAATAACTACCATTATTAATTGATTACACTGAGTACTGTGTAGGAGACTGGATTTCTGTAATACATGATAATGAGAGTGAAAAACACTGGAGTCTGAACAATCTCCTTCACATCCAGCATGACGGCTGGAGGGCAGGCCACTTCCCCCCAGCCATCCAATAGCTTAAAGTAAGGGCAAGATGTCACCTATGCCTGGCAGGATTGTTTCAACATCACAGCACGAGGGTACAGATACAGGAGCAAAATTCTTCTATTTCCAAATACTTCCTGAATTTTTTTAAAAACTACTGTGAAACGTAACTAATTTTATCTTATTCCTGTTAAAACGTCTCTTACCTGTTTATAAGAAAGTTGTTATTAAATAAAGACAAACAAAAGATACATGTTGGAGAGATGCCTTCTTTCCATTGCAAAGAAAAACAGTGGAAAATATATGAATTTATTATAATTTCTCTCAGCCTATAGCTTCCCTGCCTGGGAAATACAAATAACTGTCACTTTTTCTCCTGGTCCTATCAGACATAGGTGCTCAATGATTTTTAACCTGAGGATCACCACTGTGTTGTCTTCTGTGGAGAAGTTACAATGGTTTCTATTTGCAAGCAAATCTAGTAGGGTAATATTAGAAAGTTCTCTTCATAGTTTTAGTTTCTGCCATCTTGTTTGCTTGCTTGTGAAGGAATATGTTGTCTCCCTCAGCGTTAAAGCAAAAGGAAGCAAGCCCAAGAGCCCCGACTCCTGCTGTAAATACAAGGGGATGTCCTAGTGGCCCCCAGTTCCCACATGCTGCCACTTATCTACCCCTCAGCCAGCACCAGAAATTGTATGACAGAAGGACAGAGCACAGATGTGTTAGCAGCAGTGAAACCAGGAGTGTGTCCTGCCCAGCGGTGAAACTTGGGTGGACTATTCTTAACAACAACAGCAACAAAATATTTCTTACTTTCCCTGCATTTTATATATTGCTTGTTCTTCACTCAGTTAATAGAATTAAAGACAATGTAATTTTTTCATAGAACATAAGCTGAGATCAGCTGATTCAGTTCTATTAAACTCTGAAAACTTTTGTTTGGGGAGGGTTGGGAAAGGTATTGAAATGCCTTCATAGAGCACCAACATTTCTTAACGTCTTCCATGGACTGAACACCTTTTTCAGGGTCTCTTTTGGACAACATGATGTTAACCTTATAATTCTTCTCAGGCACACCAATAATGGGTTGTGAAAATAACAGAATGTGGTTGCATTTCCATTTTAAATTCTTCCAGTGTTTATAAAAGCGTTTAAAGAAAGTCTTCATGGAAGAACTGGGACTTGCTATTGTGAAAAGGAGGGGACATAATCTTGGACAAAAATAATCTTGCACAAAAATAAGATTGTTCAATTATCCACAGTAAGATTCTGTTGTAACATAGATTTCAAAAGGCACAGACTTCTAATTTTGCCTATAGTTTGACTGCTTTTCTAATTTTTTTTTTTTTATATGGTAATTTGAACTCAAGAAGCATAGACTGAGGTTGCATTGCAGGGAGAAGATTTTAGATAATGTGTTTTGCTCCTACAGAATCACAGCAGACTGCAGCAGCTAGCTGGCAGCCGGATGCAACCCACCTTTCAGAATCAAATTTCCACTCTAGTCACCACTTACTTGACTACGCCTGAATGTATTAAGAGAGTTTGATACTGGATACTGGAGAAGTCCCACTCTTAATACTCTATAGAAATATTCCTTCATGTTTCAGGGACTTCCAATCAGTTGATCTGATTAAGAGCTTTCTTTAATGGCTTGTTCTACTCTATCTTAGTAAGAGTTTTTAGTAAAGTTTTTAAAGGTGTGTAATGTTATTTCTCCTCTTTGGGTGCTTGATAATAGTGAAAAGTTTATCTACCATATGCAACTAAATATACTTCTACCAGATAGTTTGAAAAACTATGAACCAGGTTGGTGTTTCTGTACATTTAGAAGCTTTATGACATTCAGGAATCAATTTCTAACAGTTCTAAAATACAAAGCCTATTAAAATTACATGTGCGCAGGGAACATGGCTTGCTCGGAATTTCCAGTAATCTGTGAAACGATTTAAACTTTCTGAAGACTTCAGACATTTAGAAAGATAATGATAACATAATACAGTTGACATCATCCCATATTGGATTTTAACCCAATCTATGTCTCAAGTGCATAAGTTATTTCTATCTGTTATATATATTTTGAACCTGAAGAGGAAACAGACTGGAAAGAAGCATTTGCATCAACCTATCTGCTTAGGGATGAGAGCGCCTCTCTTTTTTAGCATCTTTCAGTGTTGTGAAGTAAAAACAAAGACAAATAAGCTTTTCTAAAACTTTGTTCTAAAAACGTTTTGAAAGAGATATATTTGAAATTAAATATAAGTAGACAGATAAGTAAGTTTATCTTGTTTCACTCACAGCTCGTGCCAATTACTAATTCAGATGTGTATTTATTTAAACCACGAGTCTAATTTATTGTTCCCGGACTAACTGGGACAATATGTGGGACAATAGACCAAGACAAGGAATGATGCAGAAGCTCTAGAAGTCACAAATGTTTTCCGCAACGTTAACGTATGGTTATGATTTCTCATGGAACGCCTAATCAGAACTATAGGAATGGCTTGCTCGTGCAGCAGCAGACCGCGCATCCTCTCACAACCCGCACACCTGCCGCTGCACCCTCCTGTCGCAAACCCGCTGGTTCTCGCGGGGCACCCTTGCCCCGCCGCCCCGGTACCTGCGGCGCACAGGTAGCAGCGCCCGGCTCCCGTGCCCTCCACCTCGATGAACTCCTGCAGCCGCCGCCGCCGGGGCCCGAACAGTCTCTTCGCCAGGTCCTCCTTCACCAGTGAGGACATCGCTCCCCTTTCTCTTCCCTTCCCGATGTAGCGGCTTAGCGGCGAGTACCGGCCCCCCGCTCCCCGCAGCCGCCGGCCAGCACCGGGAGCCGGCGGGGCACCACGGCGGAGGCTGCCCGTGGGCCGCGCGGGGCCCCCGGCCGCAGGGGAGGCATCGCCAGCTGCGGCCCCGGCGGGTCCACCCGCTCCCTCCCTGCCAGCCCTCTCCGCCGCCGGGGACAGCCGCCGTTAAGGCTCCGCTCGCCGGCGGGGGGAAAGGCAGGGCGGCGGATCTCCCCGCCCCACGCGTGTTCGCCCGCCTCCCCGTGCAGGAAGGACTGCCCCGGCGAGGCGCACCCCGTACAGGGGGACGGAGCTGCCTCGGCTGCCCCGTAGGTACCGGGACCGCAGGGGGACTGAGGAAGGAGTTCCGACGACCGCGGCGGGAGGTACTGCCGTTGGGGCTGGGCCAGGTCCCTGCTGAGGGGGGAGAACGAGCAAGGAAAAACACGAGGCAATGGCACTGAAGGCAGTTTGCCGAGAAAACAGTTGACAATTAGTGCGATTCTTTCCATCAGTAAGTAAAAGAGTGAATAGAGTTTATAAAAGGCATTAGACAACCGTATGGTGGTTACTGGTGTTAACTACGCTAACAGCTTTATGGCTATTAATAGTGTTAAGGGGAAAATTACTTTATGCCACTCCTTATAAACAGCAAATAAACTCACCTCCACACAACAGGAGCCCTCAGAGAGACAATGTGGCCAGGGGACCAGAGGAAACCACCATGCTCAGCATGTCGATATATGTGAGGGGCCTTTTACAGCAGACATTAGGATATTTGCAGAAACTTTGGTTGCTCCTGCCACTCTGCAAATGTGTGTGTCTTTTCCCGTCGGAGTCATTTCTGACTGCTTATAGCAGTTGGATGTTCTCTTCTAATTCTCATGCTCCAGCTTAAGATGTCTAAACACCCTATTGAGTTTTTCATTCTTACAGTCTTGACGTAACTTAGAAAGGAATCTAACCTTAAAATGAAATTGAGTGCTGAAGTGAAGATTTACAAGAGGTAAAAATCTGAGTATCTAAAACACCAAATTGTTTTGGGGTTTTGCTTTACGATATTATTAGACTAATTTAGTGCCATAGGTCTACATGATGCTTTTGCTGTTGTGAAGCAAAATGGAATCAAGTAGAATGATGTAGATGTAGAATTTGGGAGGATAGTCCTCTCCATAGAGGACGGAGGATACTACCTACATACTAGCTAGATGAGTGGGAAAGGGTCTACCCTATTCTTCATGGTCTTTTTTCCCCTAGGTAGATACTAGCTAGATGAGTGGGAAGGACTGAAAAGAAACCAGAAGGGTTTGGCTTATTCAGCTTCATTTTGGTCTCCAGTGTTTGGAAACACAGTTGTAATCCTGCTTTGGGAAAGTAAAGTTACTCTAAATTCCAGGTTTTGGACGTATTTCTCTAAGGACAAATTTCTTCTCTTACCTTTAAAGGCTCATTTTAGGAAACAAGCATGATACTTAGGTCCAAACTGAGACAACTGCACGCTTGGTATGAATAACTTCCACTGGAGAGCTGAGGCTCAGGGATGCCCACACCCCTGCCCACAACCTTAGTGACCTGCCAACGCCTTCAATATGGGACTGATGCAGGTCACAGTCCCTCTTTTACTGGCAACCTTGCCCCAGACTTCAGTTTGTCACCACCACTGTTAATAGTGTCATGGTTGGAGGTTTCAGTGCCAGAGTCCTCATGAGGGAGCCGATTCTGACTCAGCCAGTTTGTAGCTCATGTTGCATCAGAAAAAGACCTTCAGCTCAGTTTTTCCCTTCTGAAAGATTTGGCTGGTACTGGAGAAATTGCCTACCTGGTGAGTGAAGCATCACTGATGTCTTGGAAGTGGTGGAGCTGAGACAAGAGTGGTGCACAGCTCTGGTCTTTCTTGGTTTAGATTTCTATTTTTCATAGTTTGATCAAACTGTAAGTCATCCTACTTCAGGTTTCACAAGAGAGAGTTTTGATTTATTAATACTCTTAGACTTTTTGTCTTTTTTTTATATTCTTGCATATTAATATTGTGCCACTCTGGTCAGCAGTACATGGCTAGTAGAAATTTGTACATTAACAGAACTTTACACTGAAAACCATGTCTGGGCTTTAGGTGGAGCATTAGGGCTATGTAGCTGCTCTCTGACCAGGAGTGATGAAAGTTCTGCTGCTCCTCTACCTCCTGCCTTCTGTCCGTGCCTACATAGATATGGAAAGAGCATAGCCTGCACACTGCCATGAGCACCTGTTGTACATGCTGAATCATAGAATCATAGAATAGTTAGGGTTGGAAAGGACCTTAAGATTATCAAGTTCCAACCCCCTGCCATGGGCACGGACACCTCACACTAAACCAATGCTGGATAACTGTGAGGCTCATGGAAAACACATTCATAAATATCTGTGTAATATGTCCCAAACCATGTACTCTTAAAGCACAGACACAGATACATTGCAGTTATCACATTTGGAAATCTTGAAAACGGGGCAAAAGTTTTTGATAATTGTATAATAATTTTAAAATTTCTAAACACTTAAATATTAAATATTTCTACTTGTTAGATGAAGCTATCAAAAAAAACCCAACAAAACAAAACCCCAAACCTCAAAACCCCTCAAAACCAAAACCCTGCTGTATAGACTTTGGCAAAAGATGCCTCTGGATTCATTTCTGAGCTGTTGTGTATGCAGACTTACTCAGAGGATCCTATTCTGTGATGGAACTGTTTTCTTCATACCACCTCTCAAATCAAATTATATTTCAAACAGTATTATATCGATTAAATTACTTGTGCAATATCCTTTAATGCATTCTCAAATGCTACATTAAACAACCACTCTAGGTATATATGTGGAAAGGTACAGTGGTGATTTTAACACTGAATGTTTTAATAAGAAACAGAAAATCATCATTGACTACTGCTCTTGTTTGTTTTGATTCTTTATTCACCCATCCTCTGTTAGAAAGCATCAGGACAGTTTTGTTGCACCTGGTATCAGGATAATCAGGATACCCACAGTGTTTTGGATAATGCACATAAACATTTTTTTCTCTGTGTCTATCCTATTCTTCATAGTCTTTTCTCCCCTACTAGGTTTCAGTGGGGAAATATGAACATTCCACTTTGGAGGTGACTCAAAAAATAATTTTCTTCTTCTCTATTTCTCTACTATTTTTCTGACTTGGGTGGACTGGAAATAAGGCTGGAATAAAGGATTGTCAAGAACTGGAACAGGCTGCCCAGGGAAGTGGTGGAATCACCATCCCTGGAGACACTTGAGAGACCTGTAAATGTGGCATTCAGGAATATGGCTTAGTGGTGGATTTATAAGTGCTAACTTAACAGTTGGATTGGATGTTCTTAAATGTCTTTTCCAACTGAAATCATTCTAAGATTACATGATTCTTTTTGCTGGCATTATTATTGCTGAACAGAAAAAAAAAGTTTCCTAGAAGCTGAATGGATGTCTTGAGCAGTGCAATTGCAGATCCACCTTAGCTGTGATACTGCAAGCCCAAAGGCAACAGTTGGGCAGTTGTCCAGACAGCAAGGACACACTGTGGACTGGGATCAACTTCGTATTCTAGCATCCAGCACCCCAGCCAACTGTTCCTACCTCAGCTACTCCTGCCCATGGATTTGGGTTGTATAGACATAAACCAGAACAAACTAAACTCCTGGCTACCACGGCCACAAACAAATTTAAATCCAAATTATATAGTATTTACCTCTAAATGTCCACATAGATGAGTTACAGATTACACAACCCCTAATTCAGGATCACAGCAGCCTAGAAAGGAAGATCAAAGGTCTACAACATGAACTAGTCACCAGGTGAGTGTCTTAGAATTTTCTTCTAAATACTAGTTACTTCTTTTTTATACCTTGTCTTTACTCTGCAAACTTTTTGCATGTCCAAATACAGTTTTCCTTACTGTACCACTAACATTTTCCCACTAACATTATAGGTGATCTGACTCCTAGATATGGCTAGTTATTCATGTTTTGATAGCTATGACAATAGAATTAGATCCCTGTTAAAAATCTAGTTAAGTTTTACTGAAAACTGTCAGAAGCAGCAGAGATAACAGTGTTTTGTGCAGAAGTGCTATTCAGTGAGGTACAGCTTGATTCGCTCAGTTTTAAAATAGAAGCATAGAAATACATGCTGAGGAAGACATCAGTTGATTAAAATGTTTTTGTAGCACTACTTTTCTCATAAATTCCTTCTGAGATGCCATTAAAAGTCTTGTATCACCCTTAGAATGTATGGGTGCTCAAACAGAAGATGACTCAAGTTCTCATCAGTTTTGGTAAAAAACACTGAAACCCAGATATAAGTGTTTTCTCTAATGGTATGATTAATTGCTCAGTTAAAAAACAGTAGTACTTTTCTGTTTTCTTGGATGAAAGAAGACAAAAGAATTTATTTGAGATTTTATTTAACTGAAGCTCAAATTTGTCTAGTTTATGTTGAGTATATACTGGTATATTGTTTTCAAAATATAAACATGACCATCACTGGCATAAATGATTGTCGTGGTTTAAACCCAGTCAGGTAATTCGTTCGCTCACTTCCCCCCCTTTCTTGCCCTCCCCCTGCTCTCGGAGGGACGGAGAGGAGAATCAAAAGAATGCAACTCCCACGGGTTGAGATAAGAACAGTTTAGTAACTAAGGTATAACACAAATCACTACTGCTACCACCAATGATAATAATGATAAAGGAAATAACAAGGGAACAGAATACAACACCTCACCACCCGCTGACCGATAACTCGCCCCCCAAGCCCGACCAAGCTCTGACCGATACCTCCTCCAACCCTGCAGTCTCCCAGCCCTTCCGGCTAACTCCCAGTTACATCCTGGGCATGACGTGCTGTGGTATGGAATAGCTCTTTGGTCAGTTTGGGTCAGGTGTCCTGTCTCTGCTTCCTCCTGGCTTCCCCTCCTCCCTGGCAGAGCATGAGGCTCACAAAGTCCTTGGCCAAACCAAAACATCGCTATCAGCTCTGTTCCCGAGCCGAAAGTCAAAACACTGCACTGCACCAGCTACCAAGGAGGAGAAACGTGACTGCTACTGCTGAACCCAGGACAATGATGCCACACCGTGCCAACATCCCATCCAAAGCTTTCCTTTCCACAGAAAATACGTACTTGTTCTTTGTAGAATAGTAACCAGATGCTGGT